CCTACAAATTCTCTATTCTTCACATTTAGTTACTCTAGAATTTTAACTGTATTTTTTTTAACATTTCTTTTCTTAATTACATTCAATTTTATTGCAGGTATTCAAATTCTTAAATCATTTTTTATATTCATTATAACAGCATTTAGTACATAAATATTTTCTGTATTAATACTAAGAAACATATTTTTATATAATTTTCTAAACTAATATTCAAAAGTATTCCATCCATATTTTACGTTTATCTCAGTTTCAAAATAACTCAAATTTTGTTTAAATAATCCGAAATTATCAAATTTAAATTTCTAATACCTTAAAATTTAATTTCATATTTTCATAAAAGCAGCTTTACCCATTCAAAGTTGAAATTAGCAATAATTATTGGCATTTTCTATATGACGATAACGTATACCATTTTAGCCGTACCCAGTTAAAGAATAAACTACTTACTTAATAATTATGAAACATTTTAAACATGCTTTGTTAGCAAAAACATAAAATTAAATGAACCAATAAAATACATACCGAAACCATTTAAATTAAAGCATCAGAATAATTACCTTTCCATTTTTTGAACAATATTTTTTATGTTTCTTCAAAATAACAAAGTAAAATTGTAGAAATTTTAACTAAAGCGTTTTGTGTAATCAGTTACATATCAGTGAAAAAGATTATTTAATTCACACTCGTGTCGGAAGAGATATTTTATATATTTGGATTCTTTTGATTGATGGAACATAAATCCTGGAAAATCTGAAGCATTTCGCGCTGCATATTCATTAGACTGAATAGCTCATGCAGTAATGTTAGTTCAATGATGTATGGCCTCTTGTTGATTTATGCTGAAAAAGGAAATGGACAAAAAACATCTGATTGGCACTTTAAATCACTTTATTATAAACATTTCGCTCAATATGATTTTCATATTACGTGCAACTTAGTGACCTACTCGTTTTGAAGCACTAGAAATGCTGCAATAGAATGGTGATAGGGTTTCCCCCTCCCCTGATAATGCTAGTTAGCTTCTCACACAAACGAGAATTTGTTGAGGGAGTTGAATCAGTTTCCAAATTTAATTAGTTACACTGAACTGAAAGTAATATCACATTTAAATCGCTGGTCTTAAGAATTTTAGATCATAAACGATGTTCCGTTATGGATGAAGAGCCGAAGAATATGAAAACTGTAGGCATGACATAGGCTCATTTTATCCTTGTCGTCTAATTTATGAATGTGCTGTATGTATTCTAAGCTAAGGGGGGGGGAACTTTGATGAATTGCAGTACTATTTTGATTTTTTTTTCGAGAACTTTATGTTGCATATTCAGTGTTATTTTAGGTTAGAAAATATTTTTCTAACGAGTATACTTGTGCCGCATTTGCAGACGTAATCAATTCTTGAACAAGTTGTATAAATCTTTTTCTCGACGTTAAATTGTCAGCAGTGGAAATCTGCAAATTTTTTTTGGGTGGTTCATCTTGTGATACATTCTGGCGAGTTTTATTGTATGTTTCACTCATTCATACACGTCCTCCATATTTTTTTGAAAAATAATCTTTGCAGAGTTTTTCAAGAATTTTCGAAACTTTACTTTATCATGTACACAACAACAACAAGTGTTGCCATTGCGCAAAACGTACTATATGTATTTTAGCTTCCTTGCGATTTGGAAGATTGCCATTTTCCAGAATGCTGCCATTCGAAATAACCTAAGATCATTATTCATCTTTTAAATAATAATTTCACTGCTTAACAAACTGCTTGCGGTATTAAAGAAATAAACAATTAATAGTATATCCTACTGATGTAATTTAAGCCACATATAAGTTATAATATATAATTAATGGCACTTTTATTACTTCATATTACTCAAATCGACACAGAACTATTTGATTGCTAAATCATATCTCAGAAAATATGACAAAAGCAAGGAAAGGGTAAAAAGTACTTCATTATCTAATTTTATTTATTTATTTATTATGAATGAATGAATATCTAATTCATAAATTTTCGTTTCGCTACTCTTGACATATAATAATTTTTCTGGTAAACTGATGTTTAACTTCATGATATGATAAGTTATTCGTTATTTCAATCGCAAAATACCAGTTTGCTGTTACGTTTCATAAACAGCAAATATGATGCGCTTGAATTAAATGGAAATAGTTTGATTTTAGTCAACAATTAGTTAATAAAAACAGTATTTCTTAAAATAAAATAACGTGAAAAAAATACTTTAAAATAAAAAGACTGTAAAATACTGTAATGAACAATTTTTTAAAAAAAAATTACAGTGCCCTTTGTGCGCTAATTTAGCGCCTATCTTTCGGTTATCTGTGGTTTATTCGTAGCTTAGAAAAAATTTTGTTTTTTAAATTAAAGAAATACACAGCTAAAAAGTTATAAAACGTACACAAAGCCAGAAAAGACATAAAATACTAAAATACAGAAGTCAGAATGCCAGTGCTCTGATGATATTCTCAACTTATTTTGACCATGACCACAAACATGCATGAGTCATTCAGAATGATGTTTCGTTGCTTATGCAAGGCTTTGATGGAAATTTTGAATTTTATTTCTCTGTTAAGCCTTAAAACTGATAGAAATCATATCGTCTGAGCTGGGTTAACCAGTAAGCAAAATAAGCACATGCTTAGGGCATCCACGAAAGGGGGCACGGCAAAAAGGTCATTAGGAACTCGAGAGGGAGCACCACAAAAAATTTTCCATTACCGGATTTCCCACGATATGGTGCAGCTAAACTAAAGCCGAGAGAGAAGATGGGCGAAAAACGGGCGTTAGTATAAATGGGGGCACCTAAATCTTTTATGTGCTTAGGGTCTCTAAAGGTTTTAATCCGACATTGCATATAATACTAGTACAGAACTTTTTATTTGCCCTGTTGTCTTTCGAAGAATTCGTTAGACCGAAACATCAGTATTCCTTACTTTTATATGCATTTTAAATGTATGATATGGTTACAATACACTTGATTATGATTTTATTTAATATTGTTATTATGTGACTGTGCATAATTTGTTCGTTAAATTCATGTATGTTTGCGTTAACCCTGCATTATATGTAACATTCAGTATCCAGTGTGATCTGGAAATTGCTCTATGTGAATACGAGTGCATTAATGTACAAGAAAAAGAACTATCATAAAACGAAATCACCCTCCCCTTCTGTGTAATTGAGAATTTTCATACGAAGGACTTCTTAATGTAATTAAATTTGGTGAGCAACCACTTAAATTTTGGTAACAATTATGTTAACTTTTAGAAACAATACAACACTACTACAGTATTAGATTTTGGAACATATATTTCAAACCTGGTTGTGTAATAAAGCATACAATAAAAGATGATTAACTGAGAAGCAGACGTCAAAAATAGCTAAAAATATAAAACAAGCTTTGATGGATGAAACAGAATAACATATAACTAATATTCCAAGTTTTTCATATGGATATTGTTAAAAAAATGAATGCGGAAGAAGTCCTTATATGCAGTGTTATTTTTCTACTAAAGTATTACATTTTATCCAGCTCTATAAAAATTGGTGATATATCACGGTTTGAACTATTTCCCAATGACAAAAGATGAAATTTATCAGTATTATCCATCAGTCTGCATTAATGTATAATTCTTGTGATACTGAAAACAATTTTTTGTAAATAAAAAAAACGAAATTAAATAATGGGCATATATTGTTAATTTAGAAGTCAAACAACAAAAATCAGAGTTATATTTTCAAAATTTCACAGAATTTTGAAAATTTATTAATTTATTATTTAAAATTTTTATTTTTAATGAATGAATTTGAGTATTTATTCGGCGTGTTATTGTGCCTTAATTATATATTGTTAATCTTAAAATTCGCATCTAAAACTTAATTCCAATCTTGTAATATATTACACTTTGTAAGCGAGTAGCACTGTAATATTTGCTTACTGCTCTTTTCTTTGCCTCATAAAAACTATGATTCAAAATAGATTTAAAAAAAAATATTACTACCATACTGTTTTAGGGGAGATGTTTTCCCAAGAAACTGAGTACTCAGAACTTGAAAGTATCCTAATTCATGTGAATAAATTCTGATGTCTAAGCATTAAAAGCAGATGCATTTACTTCGACTGTCGTTGATAATATTAGCAGGTTTATTACCGTGTTTACTCACGTAATAGTCCCACCCTCGTTTCGAAGCAGAAAAACCGTCAAAAGTATACAATACTGTGTAGTAGATTTCCTCGTATAATAGTCGCACTTAGAACCCCTAGACTTAGACAAAAAAAAGTGCAACTATTGCGCGAGTAAACACGGTATATATTCCACGGGACATTCCAAAAAGAAGACGATTATTCTCCCTTCTACGATAAGGATATTTACTTGTTTATATTAAACCTTATGTAAACATTATTATTTATTTTTTTAATTACAGGAATGTTAAGTTTAGCATTAATATCTTGGAATGAGGCCGAATTTTGGTTATTCTTTTGCATTCCCTGTTCATAAGTTAATGATAATAATAATAATTAACAATAATAAGCAATGATGTATGTACAAATTTGACAAATTTTATCCCTTGTCAATACTAATATTCGCTATGTTAATACTATAACAATTTGGAATGTTAATGCTATAATTTAACAATGCGAGGTAAACAATTAATATCTTTAAGGTATAAATGGTTGATATTCCCATCTACAAATTAGAAAATACAAGGCAGGGAATTGCAGCAATCGCTATCAAATGCTTAATTATATTTGCGCAGTTTAACTTACCAATTTACATATAAACCACTTCACGTCGTTTCAGATTCTTCAATACCCAATAATTGTTAATTAGTAAACTACAAATGTAACTTTTAATAAAATTTACGAAATGCAGGTGTTGCTTTGAAAAAAAAAAAAAAAAAAAAATTCAAAATTCTGAGATAAAATACATTTGACTTCAAATAGAATATTTGTAAGAGTGAATTTATAAAGTAAATATTTACTTACTATTTCTCGTTTCCTCCTTTCCTCTCTAGATTCAAATTTTTTACATAGTTCAGCCTTAAAGCCGCCTTGTGGAGCTCTGTTTGGATCTTCTTGAGCTAATAAATCCATGAGGTAGGCTATGTAGCTCGTTGCCAACCTCAAAGTTTTAATTTTTGAAAGTTTCGTATCTGATGGTACATTAGGAATGCATTCTCGCAATTCAGCAAATGCATTATTAATGCTTAGAGTCCTTCGTCTTTCCTTGCGGTTGGCCGTAACTCTTCTCTTAAAACCCCTTTCGGGCCTCAAACCGTTGCCTATGCAGTACTCTCTGTTCTGGACATGAGAGCTGAATTCCAAAGAGGTTTCTGGACTATAGTTACCGAATGACCACCCCAGATAGGAACTATCCACGGATGGCGTTGTGACCGCTGGTACCTCGTAACGATTCCCGTAATAATGTTGAGGATATGCCGCTTCCGATCCGCGAAAGTGTTGTTGGTAATTTCCGACTAGGCTCATGCTGTACAGTGAGTGCGGGGGTCAGCAGAGTTCTGTTTAATTTCATCTGATGCGGGAGTTGGGGCTCCTCCCATAGATAGGCGGAGCTTCGGTCTTCTAAAGCATCTCCATCAGTTGAATCTCGTAAAACGAAACGAAGGCAGCTCTCATCTCATGAAATGGAAAAGTGTAACAGGTCATGATTCAGACAGTGTAGGTAATGACAGCTCTTTATAGGTAAGAGAGAATATGCCATTAAATTGAAAGCTTTCAGAGTAATTTGTATTCGATTTGGAAATGTAAAACAAAGATTTCTCTACTCTAATCTCCTTGAATAACCCCAACTCAATTTTTGACACTTTAGTTGATTATGAAGAACAGCAAGTCAGTTAGCAGCTTCCAAATATGATGATTTCCGAATTAATATAGTTAAGTATTTTGTAATTAGAACTGAATTATCGATACATGTTACGCTAATTTTGGGTATACGTACGTATTATAAATTGTTAATACTAATGGAACGTCTGAAACCGTTAGCTGCTCGGTAACGAGTGTACTTATAAACGTGTGAGACTTTATCAAGTTTAGAATGAAATTAACCAATGGCAAGTCAGAAAAACTTTAAAAAAACTTTGAATAAATATTTTTTTACAGAATATTGTTTTGAAAATTGCAACAATAAAAAGCGTATATTTCGTATATAAGTATTTCAATTTTAGCTCAGCATTTATAAAGCGTCCGTTATTAGTCTAGGTAACGAAGTTCCGGAAATTTCGCTGTGCTAACCCAACTTGACAGCGTCCGCCGTTAAAGAAAATGTCTGATGTATTCTTGCATCACTGTTGCATTGACTTTTTCATCAACCATTATTTTCATCAGCGTTCTTTCTGCTTACTTACCAAAGCTTATTATCCGTTACTTTCTCCAACATTCTTCTAGGTTACTTATCAAATCTTAGAGAAGTTGTGCCCTTTCTTAGTAAATTAAGTCATTAAGTCAGTGTACAGCAGCAGATCTAACACACATTTTTGTAAATTAAATAATTAGGTTCTGTTACTGACACCAGAGTTTCTAAATTTAGGATGTTAAAGTGTCATATGATTTTATCGGAATAAGCGTAGATGACTTGTAACTGTTTAAACTTGATTCATCAGTACTAAGTATTTTATGAAACTTCTCGTATTTAATAATGACAAATCGCACGCCACAGAATATTCACTAGCATTATCTGCCGAAAAGATTGTGAGTTTCTAAAGCAAATCTTATAAGAATTTGAAAGGTTTTATGTTTTTAACTATTTTAGTATAATTAACCTGCTAACAGTATTATTCCTAATTATATTATTTTAATTCAGTTTTCTAATTTTAGTTTAGATTTAAGTAGCTACTTACTTTCATCGTTTTCAGTTGATGAAAGTAAGTTTCATCTAAAGGGATACCTCGACAAAGGAAAAGGCTAAATGCCTTTGGAATGAATGAACTTATAATACCTAGCTTCTACCTACCATATTTCTTCGAATTAAAGATACCATTGATTGTAAGACGCACCGCTTAATTTCAGTTTTGCTAAAAGAGAGACTTTGTATGGTTCTACTTGATAAATAACTAACAACCCTATCAGATCTGAAGCGAATTATCGCTATGTCTGAAGTAACTATAGACCATGAACAAAGGTTTTATTAACCTTTTCATTAAACAGAAATTAGAACATAAATGCACGTTCTGGTATTAGCATTATTAACCATAACTCCTTTTGATGCAACTAAAGGAACAGTAAAATTTCAAATGAAAATATTGAATAGCAGTCAAATACTACACAATTAAATTTAAGTTTTCTATAATCTCTATAACTCTCCCTGTATAACGCATTCAGATACCGGCAGCGATAACTGAAAGGCGAAGAATTACAAACTTACCAGAGCTGGCGAGAACTAACGTTGTAGAGTCATTAGGAATTTTTTAAAGTAGGAAACACGAAAAATGAGCAGCGCCCTCGCTAAGACTCGAACCTGGACCTCTCGAATACGCGTCGAGTGTGCTACCGTTACGCCACGAAGGCATGCAGAAAGGAGAGAGAAAATACCTTATATAATCCCCCCCTTTTAAAGAGCGACTAGGGCTTAGGGGACCCAATCGCCAAATCCTGGTGGTGAAGAATCATCATCCACCACCTTTTTAGTTCGGGCCCCACTGTAGAGACATTAGGATATTTTTGAAGGAGGAGTATATCAAAAAATGAGCAATGCCCTCACCGGGAGTCGAACCTGGAACTCTCGAATGCACTCCAAGTGTATTAACCGTTACACCCCGAAGGCATGCTGGAAGGAAGGAGACAATACCCTTTTTAAAGGTTCCCCTTTCTGGTGGTGAAGAATCATCATCCACCACCTTTTAGTTCGGGCGCCACTGTAGAGTCATTAGTTTTATTTATTTATTTGAAGCAGGAGATATGAAAAATGTGCAATGCCCTCAGCAGGACTCGAACCCGGACCTCTAAAAAATGCGCCGAGTGTGCTAACGTTACACCACGAAGGCATGCAGAGAGAAGGGAAAAAATAATTTATAATGTAACGTGCCCGCGAAAGGCAAAAGTACGCTTTGTCTTACAATCCAAGGACCTCAGTTTGAATACTATCTGACTGATTTGCATTCTGGGAAGGAAAATGATCCTAGATCCTAAAAAACCTGCTTAATTTAAATAACAACAGCAATAGGACAGGACAGGACAGGAAAAAGTGCAGGGGGCACCACGACATCGTCATAGACAAAAATGGTATTGCCCCACTGCACTAACCTTTCCTGGCATTTATTAAGACTAAAGATATTAGATATAGATTTAGGTTCTATCTCCGTTCGACAGGTTATGAATTTACTTAAGTGCTAAGTTCAATAAACTACCGATTTTTAAAAAGAAGCACATTATCAAAACGGGAGCCATAGAATAACGGCACTAAAACGTAAGCTGAATAATGTTAATTGGCGTTCCTTATTATCTTTTACTTTAGTCTCTTATCTATCTTTCTTGTTCTACAACGGCAGACTGAAAGGTTTGGGGACTGCCTTACCCTTTCCTTCTGAAGAAGATGTGGCAGCCTTATACTGGGTTTTGTAAAGATTGTATACTGAACTGTCTGAATCTGCAACTGGACAGCCAGTACGTGCTCGCAATGAGTACAGACGTATCAGGAAGACCTATGACCTAATGAAAAGATGTCGTTGAATGAGTGTTACTTTGTATTAAATTTAGGAAGATCCTTAACAAAATAGTTGAAATTTTACAGTATGTGTATGGAATGATACATTTAATCGTTTTTCAATATTTCTCTGATAAATGTACTTCAAGGCGAGTGATCAACAAAGTATGCTATGGTATGCCATCCACTGCAGTTGCGAATACAAGTACTGCATATCCATAGGTTCAGTGATCATTGACATTTACATAAACATCTTAAAAAAATATTTGCAGAAATTCATAAGTCAAAAACCTGATGTAGATGCCACTTGACTCCCTTGTATGGTCTATGAAATTACATGCATGTTTTGCGTCACTTCATTTAAACTTATTTCTTCGAATTATTGAAACTTAATTAACTGATCCCTGAAGGCAAGTTGAAAACTACATAAAATATTGCAGAGTTTGAAATTAAATATCCCTGTTAATTTTTGTCGTACGGGAGTCAATTTCTTATAATTTTATTTTTTCATAACGAGTATGAAACTTTCGCAAATATAAGTATAGGAACCGGCAGACCGCATTAAAAGCTAGATTTCATTATTTGTCCAAAATTAATTTTTTTCTAAATTTGAATTTGCCGAAACATGAATACTTAGAAAATATTATGACAGTAAAAATGATATTAAATAGAAGCAAAAAGTGTTTACAAAATCTGGTTTACTATGCAACATAAAAATTTACTTGAATGTTAAAAATATTAAAAAACATTAGTCTTCATAACAGTATCGCAAACTGTTTTGAAATGCATTTTACATGTAAAAAAAGTTACATTTTGTGCACTTAAAAATACTTTTGCTCTCAGTTTTTTTTTTTTTTTTTTTTTTTTTCCATAATAATGCATCTTTGTCTTTTTCCAATTTCTACTTCACTTAAAGTACCAGTGATTTCCTTGCTGAATGTTTTGCCACTTTCAACAATATCTTTAATCACTTTTCCTCTTGGATGATAGTCTCTTGTTTCCATATGCTTTTCTATAAGTTTTTGTTTTTCATCTAAATTTAAAAAAAAAAAAAAAAAAAATCCTTCTTTGATAAGGACTTTTTCCCCCCTCGATTTGTTTATTTTACAATAAAATTCAAAAGCGTTATATACTGATATATCTAGAATATTACTAAATACAATTACCGACCAACGTCTCTCTGTATGCAGTCAGTATATGCAGCTACCATTTTATTTAGCGTATCTACAGTGAATGTATTTTTATTATAATCAGTGATGATTTCTACTTTTCTTCCAACACTTAGTTCATCCAACACTTAGTTCCAACACTTAGTAGTTAGTAATTTTTTCATCTTCACGCAGTGTACTTTGGAAAGCAACACATTTATTTTTCTTTGGAATCTAAGACTCAAGTGTGGAGCCTTTAGTAAAAGCAAAGGTTGAACAGTACTTTTGTTTGCAAAATTTCTGTAGCTATTGAAGATTTATTTTTTCGTAGCTGACTAATCTTTGTGATATTCCTTTTGAGTAGAATTTCATCTAAATCGTCGGATCTAAAGAAATTGTCATACCTTTGTAAACTATACAATAAGTACTAATTCAGAAGTCTAAACAACAAAAATCAGCGTTATACCTACAAAATTTTCACAGGACTAGTTTCGATGGTTTTACCGAACCATCATCTTCAGCTGCAAAACCGCAAATGAACAAGATGGGAAATAATGATTAGATAAGATAAGAAAGCCTGGACAAGAATAAGCAAGTGGCGCCATCTGTTGGCGAAACCAGAACTAAAACATAATTTCTCTAAAAGCCGAAGGCAAATAATTTGGATTGGAATTAGGATC